CATTTCACTTTCCAGTTCTTCAGCTAAAGACCTGAATGCTTCATTATTTTTCAAGACTTCGATCAACTTTGTCAGCACATGAGGTTGACCAATAGTGACACGAAGAGGATTTAGCAAGGACAAGGCCCTTTGATCCATTGGTCTTCCATCATTTGTACATGCTGTGAAACTATCACCAGTAATTAACTCCTTAGCAAAGAGTTCTGATGCAATTGCTGATATGTTATCAGGTTTTATAAGGCGATAAAAGTCATGGAAGTGTCTTCTAAAAATTTTCTGAGGAGATTGCTCTGATGAACTGCTTCTTGTAGCAGAATGCTGTACTAAATGATCACCTATAAAATTAACTCACAATGTACACTAGCTTCTAGCTATCTTACCCATTGTCAGTACAATGTTAAACACTGTATTGTTAGATATGATTCCCCTGAATGTTACAGGATGCTTTAATTCAGGATTAACGGTAGTACTACCAGGAGTAGCAGTGATTGTGAAACGGCAATGAGGAAAACATGGAGGATTCATTCGCCCATATATATCAATGATACTTTGACTAACCTATTTTAAGTTGCATCATTTCATACAAACTCGATTAAGACATGTGCTAACTTGAGTGGGGTTTTCCTGATGAGGTCTTATAGACCAGCCTTCACTGCAGTTCTCTGTATCTGTGTGTATCTCAATAAATCCCTCAGAACTCTCAAACTGAAAGGATAATTCTTTGTCACTTTTTGACCTGTTGAACTCATCCTTCATGTACTGCATGCACAATATCAATGGCATTAGCATATTATTTTTAAAACATACCATTTTTATTGCATTGAGATCCCTACCAAATAGAAATATCAGGAGCCATTCTCTTCCAAGCCTTTCATTCTCATACAGTGACTGAGCAAAGTAAAGCCATGAGGCAGGCAATGTATCTATATCTAAAAAATATAAAATCAGGCTATTATAAGTAGACATGCCTTGTGTCAAATAGCTCTCATTTTCTAAATCTGTTGAAGTGCTTTCATTACTACTAGTCGAAGAGGATGAGAGTGGCAATGTGAACAAACCTCTTATGATTTCGGTAATAATAGTCAAGAAAGAAAATTTAGATATAAGTATACTACCATACCGCTCACCAACTGGAAAACTTCCTTTACCGTCTACTGTTTGAAATTCAAATGGACAGTGGTCATTAGAGGAGGCAACAAATCTGAGACAATTTGCATGAGATTGTGTTTCAATTGAAACACAATGCTGTATCTCCAGCAGAACTGGTTTCAGTAGAGGCTTGGAGACAGTTATTTTGTACACAACACTGACTAGCTCAGAATCCTCTGGTAATATAAATTCTCCACCAACAAGAGCAGTAATGGATACTTCAATGGTTTCAGAAGGTGGAACAACTCCTTCTGGTACTGTTATCCTCAAACCATATTCTTCCCAGTTGAGTAATTGTGCATTATTCTGAATTGGAAAAGTTTTTTTTCCAGCAACATGTACATCACCTTCAAGCTTATCTAAAAAGTAACCCATTTAAATATAATGGCATTATTGGTATTTTCATAATGTTCTAATAAACTGCATGCATATTACAAATGAAATTTTGAACAAATTATATTTAAGCATCAAATGCAGATTGCATAAATAGATCTAGTAAGAACTATATGCACACAATTATCCATTGGTTCTATACTCTGTAATTAACACACCTGCTTGATCATCCTGTTTTGTTGATTCATCTTCTGTTGCTAATTCATCTATGGTAAACATATAATAACATTTTATCACAAGGGTAATTGTTGGAATCATATAAGTTGAATTCATAGGCGGTTGCAGGCCTGGGCATTAGGGGGCAATGCCCAGGTTGACTTTTTGACCAATAATTATATTCATGATTCTGGTGTGGGCATCCAGTGTAAACTGTGGTAGTTCAACAGGCTTCTTTGTTGTTTTATGCTAAGAAACCATCTCAATGAAGTTGTAGATCAGTATTGTCCATTTTCCTTGCAAAATTGTATGAAACCACACCCACTAATTATTGATGCCCAGGTCAAACCAAATTTCTGCAACCGCCCATGGTTGAATTGCCAAAGCAAAAGCTGTACACAATGGTCTATATCTGATTGCTGACTATCTCTTGCTAATTGACCTTCTTGTGCTAGTGCACTACCTATAGAATAAAATTTTAGTAGGCTGTCTATTTGGTTGAGCATCAGTGAAATTGATCTTACAATAAATAATCTACCTGGTGGTTCTTCTGATTCATCTTGTCTTGTGAATTGGCCTTCTATTTCTGATTCATTATCTAATTATAAAAAGTACACAATGGTCTATACCTGATTGCTGACTATCTCTTGCTAATTGACCTTCTTGTGCTAGTGCACTACCTATAGAATAAAATTTTAGTAGGCTGTCTATTTGGTTGAGCATCAGTGAAATTGATCTTACAATAAATAATCTACCTGGTTGTTCTTCTGATTCATCTTGTCTTGTGAATTGGCCTTCTATTTCTGATTCATTATCTAATTATAAAAAGTACACAATGGTCTATACCTGATTGCCGACTATCTCTTGCTAATTGACCTTCTTGTGCTAGTGCACTACCTATAGAATAAAATTTTAGTAGGCTGTCTATTTGGTTGAGCATCAGTGAAATTGATCTTACAATAAATAATCTACCTGGTGGTTCTTCTGATTCATCTTGTCTTGTGAATTGGCCTTCTATTTCTGATTCATTATCTAATTATAAAAAGTATACAATCAAATAATTATTATTTTTACCACCATAATTTGAACAAAACTATGATAATGGATTGTATAAAAATAGTCATGACTACACATTATCATTATCTAGTTTAGACCTATATACCTTTTGTATTTATCAGGAGTTCATAATGTAGGAATTTCATCAATAACTTAGAGCATAAATGATTCCTCCGAACTATGAATGCAAGGACAATAACAACAGAAATAATAACTAGTGCTAGACCAGGTACAAAAGTTACAAATACGCTCGAAAATACATTTGTTGTTTTTGCGACAAGAAGAACTGGTTTTTCCAACATATTTGCTCTTGCCACGACACAGATATTGTCTTTTATGGAGCTGCGGCAAATGGAAGTAGAATTTTTTGTAATATTACAATGAAGTCTGTAATTGTTGTTTAATTTATAATGGCTGATACTGCTTTCCACTTGCACTGAACTACTAGTATAATAGTACTTGGTGTGAGTGAATACATCAGTTTGAAATGCAGGGTGCAGTACAAAGTGATAGTAGGCAGCCTTTTGAGTCATGTAAATATTTGAAAAACTAAAATTGAAGGTTTCATTGCCAGTAAACAAAGAACTTTGGTTTAATGGAGTATAAATCCTTTTTGCGAGAAAATTTTCATATTGCTCATAGTCATCAAAGGTTGAAACACGAAACGGAAGGCCACTAATATTTGAGAATAATGATATATTGTAATTAACATAGTTCTCCTCAGCTTTCACTAAGTAGATAGACTCATTGAGTACACAGAAACTACTGAAATTTTGACATTCTATTTCACTCTTATTCACCAAAGTAATATGATCAACTTCACTAAAGTTAACAGTGTACAAACTAATGTCAGAAGAATTTGCTGAGTCAGTTTCTACTGAGAAACCAATATCATGTGTATTAAC